TAGACTTCATATTTTGATTGAAAACACAAGTTGGCATAAGATTCGAAAAACTATCTGAAAGTACTATTTACATGTCCCTAAGAAAGAAGTAAATGGGAAAACAAATCCATGGTCAATTATGTCCTTTCCACTTATGAAAATTGGAAAAGAGAGTAGACAACCAGAAACTTAAATTTGGGAACTTAAGATTGGGACATTCTTTTCCACTTCCTTTATTTTCCTTTTTAATCCGGCACACAGAATTGAATTGTATATCATGTATGTCTATTTGATTACTGAGATAATTGTCAATAATTTTTTTTTANGTTTTTATACCAATTGTCCTCTCCACGATTCAGAGTCTATTTTATTTTTGTTGATTTTATTTGCAGTTATTACAGTAGATCTACATCTACCTATGTGGGGATTTTGAGGAACTTTTTAAGAATGAATCGCAATATCACTAATGGTAATTCATCTCAAAAATGAGATAATGCCATATTTGACATGCCGAGTATAACTCTTGATATGAAGTTAATTTGTTTGAGCTTTGATTCTGTTTCTACTTCCTGTTTCTACTTCTTCTTCCAATATTTTATCCGATTGTGTTGGACGGAATTCGGAGAAAATATTACCTAATCGGGTAGACTTAGTCAAGAAATTAGTCTTCGGCAAAGAATGGGATAAGAAAAGGGAATATAATAATTCCTGCCTGTTGGTAGGGTGAACACTCTTAATTGCACTTCCAACTATAATCACACTACTCTAATTTTAGTCCTGTCGAACGTTTGATTTTTGTGAATTGTAAAACTATTTCTAGTGTTTAAGAAAGCAAAGTGAGAAGCTTAATAGTTGTAGGAAAAAAGTGATACTAAAGTCATAATTGAAAGGAATCAAACTATAATTTGCGTGTGCTACAAGTGCCCGAAAACCCAACAGCCTCTTCTCTGCAAACCCAACCGAAGAACACTAGTCTCCTGAAACTCTTCTCAACTGCTTCTACTCCAAACACAAAGAACACTGCAAAAACGAAGAATGCTGTAAACTCGAAGTAGACCATATACATGAGGATCCACCACTCGACGGCAAGCTCCGACTAATTGATTTCTTCTGATACTCACTACTCAACCTTAGCCCTCGATTGATACCCAAAATACACTTTTGTAAAACTCTTTTCAAAAATTATTTTTAGATACTATTTTTTGAGATACAATTCAAACACACATGTTTACTATGAAACACGATTCCTGATTTGTTTCAATTTTTATGGAAACAAAAAAACAATTTGGTCATTTCGATTATGGTCAGCTTAAAAGAACAGGGGTGGATCAACAAGATTTCAGATAAGCAGCAAATCTAGAAAAACCTATACTGCACCAGCAAACAAGAAATCTGCATTCTAGGNTTCCTGATTTGTTTCAATTTTTATGGAAACAAAAAAACAATTTGGTCATTTCGATTATGGTCAGCTTAAAAGAACAGGGGTGGATCAACAAGATTTCAGATAAGCAGCAAATCTAGAAAAACCTATACTGCACCAGCAAACAAGAAATCTCAAAGTTTAATAATGTAATGCTGCCTAGTCATCCTTGCATGGCTAAATCAGATGGTTTGACCTAGAGATCAAAGCAGAATTGTTTAATCATACGGTTTTAATAAGCATCAGAACAATCACACGCAATTTAAGTACAAAAAGGTCCCTCAACAAATGTCCAAATAATGCATGGATCCATTCCTGAATCTGAATAGTCAAAAATTTTATTAAAAGGCACAGCTTCCTATCTGCACACAGATTCTTTAAATAGTTCTCAAGAAAAAGCATCATGAAAAAAAAGGTGGCACTCCTCAGCCTCCACTAAACAGATGGCTGTCATCCAAGGATTAGGATTTTGTCTCAATGCATTATTTCGATCACCCATGAAACATAAAAGTTTTCAGAAATATTTCAAAAATAATATGAAAACAGAAAAAAAAAAAAATTAGATTAGTTGAGACGTTCCGAAACATTAGTGAAAACATTCCGAAACACCTTGAAACATTGACGTTTTANGAAAAAAAAAAAAAATTAGATTAGTTGAGACGTTCCGAAACATTCCGAAACACCTTGAAACATTGACGTTTTAATATTCAATCACTACTGATTCATTTTAGTTTTCATGAAGACGGAAGCGTTTCAAAATAGACGAAACAAATTTTAATCCTTGCTGTCAACTACTTACATACTTCCTGCTCACAAGCAAATCAACTCTTATCTGACCATCCACAAAAACAAAAAGAAGGTACTTTTGAACAAAGAACAAGCAGTTTGCTTTCATCAACGTACATATTTCCTGATCATGCGTAAGTCAATCAATCTGACAATAATGAAACAGAAAAATATTCTGAAATACATCGAAATTTAGGAATTTCGACATCAATCACTGTTATATATAACTCAGTTGGTCGAGCTCTGCTATTTTAATTGGGTCATTGCGATTTGTCTCAGTTTCTACAGAAACAAAAATGTTTTGGTTGTTGGCCATTGGTATGAATGGTTGCACTGTCTAAGTGTCATCTTAAAAGAAAATGGAATCTACATTGGATCTACAAGAATACAGATGAGCAGGAAATCTAGAAACCTATACAAAACCAGCGAACAAGAAACTTTGCATTTTTTAAAATCAGAGTTTAAAAATGTAATGCTGCTTAATAATTTCTGCATGATACATCAGATGAGGAACTTAGTGGCAAATCCAAGATTCTCCTGCAAATAAATTTAACATGACATAGAGATCTATGCCGAGATATTTCAATAATACGGATTTAATAAAACATTATGTTAGGTATGATAGAAAAATAAAAAAATGAAAAGTTAAAAGAATAAATAAAACATCATGCTTGGTAAGGATGAAAAAGTTGATGGATTAACTTTCCTTTTAACTCACCAAAATCAATTCCTCCAAAATCAGAAGAAAAGTAGATAAAAAGTTAATTATTTATGTTGAGATTTATTTTATTTGTCTATATATCTTTTTATATATACATATATTATGTATACATTAATTTAGTATAAAAATATAATGATAAAATATACATATATATATCTATATATATATATATATATANAAAATTAGATTAGTTGAGACGTTCCGAAACATTAGTGAAAACATTCCGAAACACCTTGAAACATTGACGTTTTAATATTCAATCACTACTGATTCATTTTAGTTTTCATGAAGACGGAAGCGTTTCAAAATAGACGAAACAAATTTTAATCCTTGCTGTCAACTACTTACATATTTCCTGCTCACAAGCAAATCAACTCTTATCTGACCATCCACAAAAACAAAAAGAAGGTACTTTTGAACAAAGAACAAGCAGTTTGCTTTCATCAACGTACATATTTCCTGATCATGCGTAAGTCAATCAATCTGACAATAATGAAACAGAAAAATATTCTGAAATACATCGAAATTTAGGAATTTCGACATCAATCACTGTTATATATAACTCAGTTGGTCGAGCTCTGCTATTTTAATTGGGTCATTGCGATTTGTCTCAGTTTCTACAGAAACAAAAATGTTTTGGTTGTTGGCCATTGGTATGAATGGTTGCACTGTCTAAGTGTCATCTTAAAAGAAAATGGAATCTACATTGGATCTACAAGAATACAGATGAGCAGGAAATCTAGAAACCTATACAAAACCAGCGAACAAGAAACTTTGCATTTTTTAAAATCAGAGTTTAATGTAATGCTGCTTAATAATTTCTGCATGATACATCAGATGAGGAACTTAGTGGCAAATCCAAGATTCTCCTGCAAATAAATTTAACATGACATAGAGATCTATGCCGAGATATTTCAATAATACGGATTTAATAAAACATTATGTTTGGTATGATAGAAAAATAAAAGAATGAAAAGTTAAAAGAATAAATAAAACATCATGCTTGGTAAGGATGAAAAAGTTGATGAATTAACTTTCCTTTTAGCTCACCAAAATCAATTCCTCCAAAATCAGAAGAAAAGTGGATAAAAAATTAATTATTTATGTTGAGATTTATTTTATTTGTCTATATATCTTTTTATATATACATATATTATGTATACATTAATTTAGTATAAAAATATAATGATAAAATATGCATATATATATATATACACACTAGTTAATGCACACGTGCATTGCACGTGAACTATATTTTATAGAAAATCATATATATTAAAGTCGTGAACCACAATTTTATAAATTCACTTGTTTGGTAAACATTGGTAAATAATTAACGAAGAACAACTAAATCCAAAAAATATACTAAAGAAAATAATATTTCAAGTTAGCTCAAATACATCATTCTCGATTCCATCCTTATATATTGTGTCTCTCATCATAATTGGAGAAGGTTCAAAAAATAAATCATAATTGGAGAAGGTTCAAAAAATAAATCATAATTGGAGAAATGTCAAGAAACATAATTGCACTCGGTGATTTACTTTTCCCAAAGGATCTTTAAGCAGCAATTATACGTGAGCAGACACATTTCCTCTTTTCCATAACCAAATGGAAGCAAGAAACCAGCATTTTGTGCTTGCTTCCTAGCAAAATTGCAGGCTGGGGAAAGTTGCTTCCCCCCGGAACAATCTAGTTTCAAAGATAACACGATCAAACAGGTAAAAATATGATGTACCAACATGAGAAAAGGAAAACAACAAAACAAAAACATCAGGGCAGAGTCGAAAGATTCAATTTAAATGCCTACTCTCCTCGCAAAGGGTGCCTAGCAAGTTCTGATTTAAACCACTACTTATTACTCCAACAAACTCCTTGCTTAGAATGTTCATTTTAAGCAACTAAAGCATCAATTCAGAAACCTATATCGAAACACTGGTGTGCATAGTGACTTAAAAAAAATGTTCAAAGTTGTTAGCTTGATGCAAACATCAAACTCACAAATTGCAGTAGATAAATAAAAGAAAATATACAAATAAAGCAAGAACAATGGTGCGGGTCAAAAGGATGAACATTTACCCACTCTTAAGTTGCAAAGCAAAGCATCCAATTCGATCAAAACAATATGGAAGAAGCCATCCACTTCCTTTGCAAGAACATCTAATCCTTGTGAAAGCTTCTCACTCTTCTTCCCCAAATCTGAGGTTGAATTCAATGGTGCTATGCACAATTTGTTGACAACTATATAATTTGCCTCAAGCTCTCTCAATACTGTACACTACCACTTGAAAATGTATTTCTTATCCCTCTGTTAACAAAAAACTGTAGCTCGATAAAAGCTTCTGCCCACAAGCATATTTCGAGAACTTGGAAATCCCTCAACTTCTTTGCCGAACCTGAGAATGCAGCCATAAAGATGCTACAAACAAACAAAGTTACCACCTTAACTCCATACATAGCACGCATCAAAACCTTGGCTTTGGTTGAGTTTTTCACCTTAGGATGGTTAAGTGTTTTAGTAAGATTGTCTAGCATGGAAAAACAGTTCTCAAGTGTTGAGTTCTTTCAATTAATGTGCTGCCTCCATCAAATGAGGCATGAGCATGCAAAAACTTTTTTGGAGTGGGGCATTCCAAGTTGTGTAAGATGCACTGAAATAAGAGTTGGCCTTGATTCAGGCGTNTGAGCATGCAAAAACTTTTTTGGAGTGGGGCATTCCAAGTTATGCAAGACGCACTGAAATAAGAGATGACCTTGATTCAGGCGTGACAGCTCAGACCTGAAAGCAATGCAGATATCAAACAACTTCACACTATTGTCCAGATATACATCAATTCATTTCTCATCCTAATTCAACACAGGGAGTTCAAGTGCGGTAATGAGGACTTTTATATAAGTGTGCGTGTCACAGAGGGACTTCATTACAAACCTCATCCATGATAGGATCAGTACAGCCTCCTGTCTTTTGGCTTAAGCTTCCTAAACCTCTTTGCCAAGGTTTCCTCAAACGTGTTCAACAGTTCATGGAGCCATGGAGAGAGGGTGGGCCCTTAGGTAACACCATACGAAATGGATTTCCAAATGGGAATAATGGTCTATGTGGATCCCATGGAAGACTCATTCCAATGTGTCAACTGCAAAATATCTAAAACAACACCCGTACAACTGAATGAGAAGACAATTTCTCTAGACCGATCATAGGTGCATATGTACATAATTGTAGCAGTTCAATGTAAAGATTTGTTTTCTTTTCTTTTTTATAATAAAAATCACATATGTAAAGATTTTTTTCTGGCTTTTACCATTTCTCACTTAAACAAATCGTAGTTCAACCAATTAGGGCCAAGTTAATACTATAATAAGGGTCGTTTATCCAATCTCAGATATATGTAAAGTGTAAGACAAGTATTCACAGCAACAACTATTCTGATATAGGACGAGTTTCTAATAGCCTTCAATTCAAACCAACTTGACAAATCAAATTTAGATGCAGAAATTATTTATATCTCACAACAAAATTATAAGATTCACCAATATATTTGGTTGTCGATGTGAACTAAATGCGTCAACCATTTCTTCTCATAGCTTCATGAAAATTGATTACCATATGGCAGCAATCATCACAAATTATGGCAAAAGGTCACAATACCACCAATTTCTCCCATAAAGTGAAGTCTAATTGTTATTTCATAACCCTATTCATCCTAACAGCAGTTATGAGAATCCTGCATCTAGCAGCAGTTATGAGAAGGATGAGGTATAACACATCTAATTTGATTGTATTATTCCAGAATCCTACATATCTGGGTAGGAGTTAGTTGGTCTAATGCAAATGACTAAAGACCAGACTCAAGTTTCATGGTAGCAAAGTGTTAGATACCGAGTATGTTAGTTATGAACTCATTTGTCAAATGAACAAGTTCAAAACTGTATGTTTGTGGTGAAGATTGTCCATTTACTTCTATTGGAGGTTTTCCTGAATACAACATTATTCTAAATTTGGTAGTATTTATATTTGCAGCCCATTTTTGTGATTTTGCTTTAGTAAATTCATGCATATAGCTAAAATATTTGCTCTTATTCGAAGTTATAGGTCTTTGTGTCTGGGCAAAATTTTTCCTAATAAAATAACTAATGTCTACTATATTTTTTGAAGTTAATAATAGCAATAACATCAACTAATTCATTCTTTTAGACTGTACCGATTCTAGGCACTTTAAATTGATTTCCTACCTCTAAAGTTTACAAAACACTTCCGGTGCAGAGTTTTTTGTTGTTGCACGTTTTCATTGTATTAAATTCAAGAAGACAAACAATAAACAACAAACAACGCCATAAAAACGAAATAAAATAAAAAAGAAACACAATTGGATTTCTATACAAATACTAACAACCAGAACTTATTAAGTAAATTCAAACCCAATACCCACTACAGCTACAAGTATCAAAAGATTCAAATTTCTTTGACTATATAATAAAGACTTATATGCAAGCTTAAATAAAAAAAATTTAAAAGTTACTTCTATTTTCTCATTCTAGAGGTTGAATTTAATGAATAGTTTTGGCGCTCGATTACAGAGAAAATTATATTAAATACAAAATGTACAAAATTACAAGAGGATAATGACTAACCCAAGACATTAGAGGAATAATTTGTTAACAAAAATTTGTTACCTGATGAAGCAGTACAGTGATGCTTGTGGAATACCAAGAAACAAAATACAGCCAACGTTTGACAGAGTAAGGGCGAAGGCGAAGGCGAAGGCGAAGGCTAAGGCTATGAACTGGGAGGATATGTGGGAAGTGGTGTAGTCATTTTTGTTTTGGACATTACTTCCTGTCATTTTGGAATTAAAAGAAACAGAGCGTAAGTTGCTAATTGATTTCTAGAATGGCAAAGGGTGCAAGGCATTGCGATCGTAACTGATTCTTAAATTGAATTAGTATAATTAAAGAATATTGGGGAGAAATAACAGGTGAAGGTATAGAACCTGGGTTGTATGGAGTAGCCCTTAAATCTGCTAATAATAAGTTGTAGGGACGCAAAGGCAGAATTAAAGAGAGATGGAGAGGGGGTATGACGGTTTGGTCTTTGTTGATGGGTGAAAACGCAGGGGCGAGAGGGAGAGTAACGGCTGAGAATAAGGAGAGAGAGAGAGAGAGAGAGAGAGAGAGAGAGAAACGGTTGAAAAATAGGGAGAGATATACAAAAGAGACGGGTCAGTACAGGAGTAAAGGGAAGAAGTGGAAGTGGTGATTAGGTTTACTTTGCTATTAAAGATGAAGGATATAGATGACATTATTGTGTTTTGGAGGACAAAAGTGGAAATAAAATATTTTTCATGTATTCCCACATTTTAAAGTAGTATATATATATATATATATATATAAATTTTTAAAATAAATAAAATATATATATTTTAATTTTAAAAATATTTTTTTTTATCTTAATTTTGTCAGAAAATTTTTGACTCAATATAATGACGTGACTCAAACTCTACACGAATTTGATAACACGAACTTGATTAACTCAAACACGAACACAATATAAAAATAAATAGGTCAACTTGTAATTCAACAAGATACAATTAGTTAAATGAGTTGAATTATGTGTGACTAATATTAGACACTAACCCGTAATGACTCAACACGAATCTATTACGACACGATTCGATTATCATCTCTAATATTAGCCAGCACAAAAAAAAAATTAATTATTTTTATTTTTCATCCACTCAACCAAACACAAAAAGAAATAACTTTCCATTAGAAAATTTACTATTCTTACTTTTTATTCTTAAATAATAAAAAATGCATCTATGTTACCTTTAATCCTGCCTAGTAAATACTAAATAGAGTCATGCAATAACCAAAACAATCATAAACAATTTACGTACCCACAAAAGTTCAAATGAAAGGATGAATGGATCCGCTCTGGAATCTGAATGGTCAATAAAACTATTAAAAGTCATGGCTTCCCATGTGCACACAGATTCGATAAATAAATCCCAACAAAAAGCTCCAAGAAAACAAAAACGATGTCCCTAAATAGATGTCTGTCGCCAACTTATGTGATTTCTGTTCACACAATGAAATCAACTCATCTATGAACATAACAACGAGATACTTTTGAACACAGATAACACTTGGCTGAAGATTAGACCATCCAACTCATAGCCAATAGTAAAGAATCACACTAAATAAAGGATGTGTTTAGGGCCACTTCTACCGGCCGCTTGAACAGATACGAAAGTCCGCCAGAGTGATCCAGGAGTCGTGTGTATGGCGTAGCTAGGACCCTTCAAATCGTGTTTGAGCCAATGTTCAAACCAAACCCACCCTAACCCAAAAATTTATGTCTTTTCCTTGGCATTGAATTAAAAAATTCACATGGTACAACAGATGCGCAAGAAACATATCGACTTAAGGGAGTCCCATACACGCTGCTATGAAAAATTCTATGTTGCTGAAACAAGAAAATTCGACCTGCATCATGACTTTAAAAAAAAAAAAAAAAACAATGTCACAAGACATGTAAGATTATCAATCCTGTGAGCCCCGTTCCCACCTACTAACTCGTTTCTAAGAATGGTTGCACAGTCCACGTTGGATCAGCAAGAATATAGATGAGCAGAAAATCTATAAATCTAAACTGCAGCGGCAACCAAGGATTCTGCATTCTAGAAAATCTCAAATCATAATTATGTAGTGCTGCATGCATCATAATCCTTCCATGGTTGTATCATATTAACACTATGAAATAGAGATCAAAACGTAATTGATGATACACAAAATGGTTTTGCACACCATCTGTCAAGTGTGAATAATAAATGTAAGAAAATTAATAATAGGAGATAGAGAGACACAGACAATTTATAGTGGTTCGGTCAGCTTGACCTACGTCCACTCTTTAATGGCTTTTGATTACCAGGTATTTTATTAATTCAAGAGAGTGGAGAGTAGAGAGTACAAGTTTTGAAGGAGAATAGAGAGTCGTGCTCAGGAAAAGTGTGATGCCCAGGTAATCAGTGTGTTTTTCCATGTGTTGGTGGGGCGTGTAATTTATAGTGGCCCCCTAACAGATTGGGCCTACTCTTTAACGACTAAGTAACCATTTCGTTGGAGCTCGCGATCTCTTCTCAACGAGCGAGGTGGTTGAGGAGCTCTCCATGAGATGCAGTCAAAGATATGGTGTGGGTGGACCGTTTCCTTCGGCGTGCAGGTAAGGCTTCACATGTTCTCCCCCTTGATGACGTGGCTAAGCAAAGAGTCTAACTTGGTCTTTGGCTATGTTAGGCTTGGTAGATTTTTAAATGAGGTTGAGCTTTTCAATTGGAATTTGGACTTTGCACATAGATTGAGCTATTTTGGGCTTGACCCATCATTTGCCCCTCAATGCCCCGTGTTCAAGGAAAGCTTGGAGAAAAAGGCATTGATTCTTCATTTATATATTTTTGGCTTTGGTGCAAACTCCAAGCCTTTCCCACTTTTGCTTGAATTTTGAAGAGGGCCCATAATTTTCAATTTGGGCTTTTCCCTCTTTTAAAAATCCTAGACTATAAATATAGTCTTCTTCTTCATCCTACCCATTTTACTCACCTTGAAATTGGAAACCATTCTTGAAAATATTGAGAGCCCAAGTTCTTTCCATTTCTCTTGCCTTGAGATTGAGCATCCATTCTTGAGAACTTTGAAGACTCAAGTTCTACCCACTTTGTTGAAACTTTGAGAGGAAAAAGTGTGTTCTTCTTGAATCCTTCCAAGAGTGGGATTTCTTCCTTTCTAGTGGAGTTTTTCAAGTGGGCAATGCCGATTGAAGAGGGGGTGGTGGATATTGAAGAAAGGGAGGAGGTAGGCATCATTTTNGTGGGATTTCTTCCTTTCTAGTGGAGTTTTTCAAGTGGGCAATGCCGATTGAAGAGGGAGTGGTGGATATTA